GAGAGAGAGAGAAGGGAAGATAGAGCATAGGCAGGAAAGAAAGAAAGAGAAAGCGAAAGACAGAGAAAACTCGTAATAGAGTAGAGCCCCTAGATTGAACCCAAGGACTCGTAACGTGTTCTTAAAATCCCCCCCGTCAAGAAGCCGAGGCGATCGTGCTACAGGCGTGACGTCATGGGGCAACGGTTCTGTGGTCGCCTGAGGTGGGTGACGTCATGCTCTGCCCACAATCGGGTGACGCAATGATTTCTTGGATCTTTGACGATTTCCCTCCAGCACCCGAAGGAGAGACCGGCTGGTCTTACAGTAATATTGTTTGAGGCATGCGGATAAAATGAGTAACTTTTAGCAATCCGCAGAAGAGATATTGGCCAAAAATCAGCACTAAGGTCAAATTTGTTGATTTTCATTGATGCCATATTATTCTTTAATAATACCATGCTTTTTTAAAAATTATTTCAGACATGTACTTATGAATTGTAAAAACTCCACCTATAAGCGTGATTTCTCTATTTCCATGAGGATTGAATTCGAGAAGTAACCCCTTTTGTCGGCAGGCTTCACATATTGAGACGGCTTTTACTAACGGCTCAGTAATATATTATATCTAATGTACATGTCCTTTTGTTTTGTTTTGTTTTGTTTTGTTTTGTTTGCTTTTCTCCCGAGAGGATGAGAGAGAGAGAGAGAGAAAAAAAAGAGAGCACAAGGAAGAGATAAGTGTTTATAAGAGATAAGTGTTTTTAGAGACCTGGGTTTGTTCAAAGAAAAATGTGTCAACGTAGTGGCAATTATTAAGCTTCAAGAAAAAACAAACAGGATTAAGGAAATCTGTTTGTTGGTTAATAATGATGACCGTACGCATTTACCTTTCACCATTATTATTTTTATTTTTATCTTTATTATTTCTCACAAACTAGGCGGCCTACCTCTGTGTGTCATTCTGCTAGATGGTCTGTCACCGGGAATGTCGGATTATATTCCACTTGATGGTCTGCTAGTCTACTACATTCAGCAACCGTGATCGTGGGTGGTTGGCGGGTGCTCTGGTGTGGTCTGCTCCTTCTTTCCTATCAAACGTCTATTGTCCTTATCTCTCCTCCTTCTTTTTTGTGTTTGTTACTCTCTTGTAAAACCTCTAATCTTCGGCATTTATATGACCTTATTGTGTTGCAAGTGCCGTAAAACTCTTACTAAAAAAAGAAAAAAAAAGCAACCGTGATCCTATCTCTAACCTTGTTCCTATCTGTAACCCAAAGCCCAACCCGGTCAAGAACCCGAACAAGAACCCTAACCTGAACCCGAACGAAAACCCTACTCCTGCACTACAAACCTTACTCCTGCACTACAAACCCTAACCCTAATCCTTACCTTAACCATAACAATAACCCTAACCCGAACACTACTCCTAACCCAAATCCTAACCCTAATCTTCACCTTAACCTAACAATAAACTTAACCCTGTTACCAAATAACCGTTCTTCCCGAGCCTTCACGTCTAGCAGCTGGAAACTGTCAAGTTATCAATCGCCGACAAAGAACAAGCGAAAAGATCACATTTGCCCTTCTATTGATCAAGTTGGTCTCTCTCTCTCTCTCTCTCTCTCTCTCTCTCTCTCTCTCTCTCTCTCTCTCTCTCTCTCTC